CTTCAGCGTTTGCTGCGGCTTGTTGGAGCACGCGGGGCCCATCGTCGAAATCGACGGGGGAACTGTCGGATATTCTAAAAAAAGACTGTGTTACGCAATGTTTCGATTGTCATCTTTTTTTCGACTCAAACAAGACGACGCAAAGGGCACAACCAGCGCAGAAAGTTGTATTTAAGTGGTCTTATGGATTCCTTCTTATCCTATTCCTCATGAACTGTTTCCTTGTTTAGACAACCAACTTTCGGGCCTATAAACACAAGTGCAGAATCGGCTTGTTACACAGCAATTTGCAGTCTGTAGACGTCGCGCGAGACCAAAACGCATCCACCAACAGGCGCAAACTAATAGCATGCACCGAGACCTGATTAGTTCAATGACACTAGCTAAAGTTGAAGGCCTATTGTCTTCTTTGCGCCTAGTCTAATGGCTAGTGTTGAGTGGAGTTTATTTTCCCTTAAGGCTGAAACTATTCATAGTAGTGTGTTTGTCAGACGTGTTTGGGGTTAACAGCTATTCCTGTGGAGGAAGGCACTCATTGTAAAACCTTCAGATCAATGGGCAGACTAGGAATCCGTTCAAGACACCGTTCAGTGAGGTAGGTGAAAGGTGGTTTTTTATCAAACGGGTGTAGCGACAAACGAGGCTCCAAGCGAGGTTTTTTAATATTGTGGTTAGTCAGAAAGGTTGGCAACTGCCAGGAAACTCCTCTTCCGCATTCACCTTGCCGCAAGGAGTAATGACTTTCGATAGGTATTTTTGGCCGAATTGAATTGAATTCATCTGACCCAAATTCGACAAAGTCTGCGGCTTCGGTGGGATTTGAACCGACAATAACAGAAAGTGCGTTCACTGAGAGGATTATTGCGTATATGACGTTTCGGATAATTGTCTCGTCTATCCATCTCGATGCATGCTCTGGTTCCCGCGGAGACGAACCGAATACTGGCGCCTCAGTTACAGAGGGGGTCAACGAGGAATCTGGTAGTGAGACGCGGCTCGAACAGATTGACAGGCTACGCACACGGAAGAAAATGGCGGCATATAGTGGGAACCAGGAGCCATAGTATTCACACCCTGTGACGATGAATAGACGAGACAATTATCCGATATGTCAGGTATCAAATAAACATCCCCCGGTGAACACTCTTTCTCCTTCTGTATTACAGGAGTAGTTGGCAAACGCACATAGTTATGCAAGTAGCCAGTCATGCATGTTTTGGTTTGCGGCGACTGTCTACAAGTCACTTCATCCAAATTTTGCTGTACTGCAGGCCCGAACAGCAACAACAACAACAACAACAGAAGACCCGGCAATTTACTACAGTGTGTGTTGCGCGCTTCGGATTCAGTGAGTGGTTATACTAGACACAGCTCGCTGGAGAAGGCAATCTCCGCAAGCACACAGACGCGTGTCGGCGCGGTTGTGATACAGCAGGCTGAGAGCTGTAGAACAGACTTACCGTAACGGAGTCCTCAGGGCAGGTCTCGAGGGCTTCTGTGTAACACTCCACCGCCTGCTGATACCGTCCGGCCTTGAAAAATTTGTTTCCACGATTTTTCAGGGCGACAGCTACGTCCAGGGGGGTTTGTGGCTTGGATTCCACGGTGGCGCCGCTCTTGCGTACAATCGGCGACTCAACAACATCGCCAGCGGGAGATGAACTTCCTGCAAGACCGGAAGAAATATCACAAAACAGTTAATATCGCCGTTGTTGTCGTCGTAATCTTCCTCTAACCTTGACCAGCGAAGGATATTAAATAAGGCAACCAGAAAGCAAACTGTCCCGGCTCAGACACAACAGAAAACAATAAGTTGAACTTTTCGTTTTTTTAATTACATTCCGACAGTCATCTAGGTGGCACCTTTAGGTTCCGATAAGCTGGTAAGTAAGACTTCTATCTAAGTTCGAGGGTAGTTTATCCCGCAGAACAGGAAGGCATATTTGACAAGTTGATGGTGTTTAATAGGGAACAGTTTCGGGGATTGGACTGGAAAGTAACCACCGCCTCTACGGCTACAGCACAGCTCTGTTCGGAGACAGCAACGCCTTGGACGCAGTCTTCAAAATAGACGTGATGAGAGTTCGATTATTGCAACCGATGATAGTGATCTTCACTCGACTAAGACTGTGATTCGAGGGATCAGATCAGATCAGAGGGATGACAGCCACCAGGATTTTGTGGGATTGAATGTTAACTGCGTGGAACACTCGCGAAGACTAAATTCTGTCACAATTTCCCAGGGTGCACTTCGGTTTCAAAGACGTCGGCCAAATGAACAAGACTTGAGCAGAATTCAGTTGATGCAACTGTGAAAAAAACTAGGAGGCATCGTTGGGAGTCAAATGTAGGACAGCAAGAGCCCGGTTACAGTACAGCCAATGCTCCAACCACCCGAGCCACGAGGCCCCGCAGCGGAGCCATAAGTTTGAATGCTGTTTGGACAATCAACCTATTGTATCAGAATTGGTGAATTCCATGCTTTTCAGAAGGCTGGGTGAGTAAGGTGACCTCGGTGTTATTAAACTTACGGCTCCCCAGACGGACTAGGAGTTCGGGTAGGTAGAGCGATGGCTGTACTGAAACATTAGCCTTGCAGTCATGGGCTAGAAGAATTTCACCGATGCCGCCGAAAGTTTTAGAGGTAGGTTAAACAAAAACGACCTTTTCCTCTTGTACATATCTCCTGAAATTAGGTCGATTGTTCCAGGAAGTCACTTGTACTTGTTACGGCTGTGATCATGCCTTGCCTAGCCGGCC